TATTTCAAGACAATTAAAGCCAAATGAAATAGATGAAAATTTAAAAATTAAATTATTTTATAAGTGAATTCTTGGGAGAAGAAGATACCAATGGCAAAAACAAGGTTCGGGGGGTTTCAAACCTACCAATACACCAACATATTTTTAATTTTTAGTATAAAGATTACGTCAACGTTTTTTTTTCCAACCCCTGTCATAAAAGTAATTTGTGTACGCCACTTGAAGATAGCTAAAATATATCTAATGTAAAAAAGTCCCAATACCTTATTTAAAACTTATTAACTGAATTAATTATTCAAAATAGTAGTGAAATGAATTAATTAAAAAATAAAAAGACTTTTAAGTCTTAAATGAAATTTATCAAGAGTTTCATTATAAACAATATATGTGGCTAGTTAAATTGCATTAGGATACAAAAATATGTAAAGAAAAAATACTGCTTTTCAACGCTTACATCGCATTATTTAGGTAAATACACTGATTTAACTTTCTGATAGATGATCTTAAAGTGCATGAGTAAATACATTCAAGCAATATTGTAGATAAAACCGCTATCCTATGTTATCTTGACGTATTTATGGAAGAATTTTCAATAAGCAATTTGGTCCCCTAAGAGGCCTCTATGCAAGCAGATAAGATTCCATTTTCATTAATTGCACCATCAAATGCTATTAAAGCGCTATGGTCTTTTAAACCAGTGTTAACTTTGTTTTCATTGGAGATACATGTCGAGTACTTGCATATTAATGCTTCTTATTTCTGAAACTGAAATTTCCAGTTTCTTCCCTAATAAGCTAATTGTTGGTTTCCTTGTAAGTAGAGTTTTATTTACTATATTTATATATTTTCTTACTATATTCCCTATTTATAATATTTCTGAGATTGTTACTTAATTTATTCTAAACAATATAAATTTGTAAATTCTAACAGGTTGTTTTCAATTGCTTCGTAAAAAACGCGAAAAGTTGAAAGTGTTTCTTTTTTTTTTAAATTTCTGATATGTAGGGACCCATAATAACTTAGGGTAAGATTAATTTTAAAAGTGTTTAAAAATTTCAAAAGTGATTCTAAACTTTAGATTAATTATATAAAATTAATTAATAATAGAAATTCATGGAAATAAAAGTAAAAGCTAAAGGTATCCCGTAACTAAGTTGGAAAAAATTCTAGAAGTATATAAAATACTAGTATATGACACTAGGAGTATTATCCAGTTCTAAAGGAATTTTTTTTTCCATTTAATCGTGTTAAATAACAAATGTTTGTTATTGTTTTCCTTTTTGAAAAAAGGGAAATACATGCAGCTATATTTTACCGTTTAAACTTATAAAATATAATGATTATGATTAAAGCCTATTATATCAAATAAATATTTAATTGGATAACAGTATACTGGTTACATAGTTAAAGAGAATCAAAAAGTAAAGAACTTTTTTTTTGAAAATTTAGAATTTTTTTAAAGCAGCAACGGTATAAAATTATTAAAGGGCATATTGTTACTCTGGAAAAATGATAACCTTTATACCGCACACTCAATTTTACTGGAATCGAGATCGGTATCACCAGGAAAGGGGTTCCCCGGACCCTTTAACCCCAGGAAGGGAAATAGCACATTATGTAATGATTGAGAATGATTGATTAGATAGGTCGAGTAGATTTCGAATAAAAAAAAATAGCTCATTGGTGGAGGTTTAAGCACGCTCTTTGCTGTGATTGTTATTTTCTTTGTTGTATTTTTGTAAAGAAAAACATTAGCTTAGCTTGACGAATCCAATTTAAATATTTGTTTTAGAAAGGTCGAAATACGCACCTGTAACTAATAAAAACATTTAAAGAATTCAATCTGCCTCGTAAAATCGAGAAGTAGACTGACTTTTTATCTTACAAATGGAAATGAAACTTTATATCTTTTTTTCAATCGAATGATACTGATAATGTCCAGTGAAAAAATAAAGGAAAGGGTTTATAAAAACATAATCCGTTCTCCGATAGAAATGCAGTGGCAGAATTTGGCGACCTTGGCGTCCTATCAACGTGAAAGAAATACTCCGTTCGATGCATCTCTCCGCAATCCTCGCGATTCTTTCAACGCTTAAACTGACTGGCTTGGAATAGTCTTTTGATTATTTTCTTATTTTTTTAGTTACTCGGATAAACGGGTTGTCGTTCTTTCAGTTCTCTTTTTCCGATGGATGACTTCGCTACCGGTTGAGCCATACATCGCCCTAAATGATTCTTTTACCACCACAGTTTTTACTCTCGAGATAAAAATCGGGAAGTTTTCGTGTGGAGATAACTCTGAAAAATTGTGCATATTCGTGCTCCGAATACACGACATCTTCGAACTGGACGATCGCTAAGATCTCTTTTTTTATAGTCGTCTCCTTACCTCTTCAGGTAAGTAGTGAAGTTTTTTCCCCCCAACTTCATGTTTGGGTGTCTGTTGAGTCAGAAACCTACATTTGCACCACGTGAATGCCGGTATTGCAGGATAAAAATAATATGTAAACAAAACCACGTTTCTTCACACATGGTAATGCAGAGAAGCTTTCATTTCTCTTTCCACCTGTTGAATGGGGTGCTGTTTCAGAAATATATACTTTATTTTTGAATAATAATGTAGACATCGCATACCCATTCTTGACTATTTGAATTACATTAAAATTTAATGTTTCACAAATACTCAATTTTTTTTTACAGTATCAACTTTGAATCCTGTATATATTTTTAAGGCAAATATACATTTTTGATCGAAGTATATTTTTATGCTATTAGAGCTTTTTAGGAATCAATTTCAATGAGACTTTTTTTTTGTTCGGTATGGTTACATCAGCTTAATAAACGTGCCGAGAAATTTAAAATCTGGCATAACAAGAATAAATACGTTTCAATTTCATGTTACTTCTAAAACTGTACAAAATTTTTTTTTAAGAATTATTTAATATATTAATTTTGTATAACAATTTCTCGGGGAAAATGTAAATGAAAGTCAAAGCACAAACATTCACGAGTAAACGTACAATATATATAAAAACACATTCATGATTTCTACTGTTCACTATACGTCTTTTCGAATTTGTAAATGTGAACATTTTTCAAAACATATAATGACTAGTAAGGAAATTTATATGCAGGTTATAATCTAATCATTTCACAGAAATAACTAGAGTATAGTTCTACTCATATTTATATATCCTGTTTCTTTTAATGAATTCCTGTGAATATCAACAGAAAATTAAATTAATAAGCTGTTGTTTTTCATAAAATTCTGAGATTTTATCTTTAAGATATTCCCGCTTACAAAATTCACTGCCAGATTTTTAAAAATGAAAATAGTAATAATAATAAAATGACTTATTTCATGTATCATATTTTATATTAATCTTGTATCACAATTTCTCGGGGAAAACGCAAGCGAAAGTCTGAACAAATAAATTTAACATAAATAAATTATAACACTATATTAGATAAATATTATATAAAAACTTCAATATAAGTGACTAGAATATAGTATTCCAGTACTTTACAAATTAGATACATACTACTTGTCAACTTAAATTAATTCATCATTAATTATTTCGTTCCTTTATAATTTTATCATGCAAATCAAGGAAAACTCGCCTAAAATTTCGGAATCCGCGATTCTCAACCACTGTGCCGCCTAATTTTTATGAAATTATTAATTATACTTTGAGGAAATAAAATAAAATCCGGAACCACAAATCATTCGGCTGTTTTACAGAAATAAACACTAAGGGTATTTGTATATTTAACTTACCATTTCGTGGAGGGATGAAATAAAAATTGGATTGGGTTCGTAATTCATTTGTGATAACGAATACATCTGTATATGAACTAATTTTGATTGACGAGGAAAAACTAATTTCACTCTGTAATAATCGAGATTTAATTTCAAAACATTTGGAAGAGTCAGTTAATTCATTTTAGATTATAATTAGAGGCAATTATCTCATAATAGCTAAAAAAAACTTTCAAATATGCGCAAATTTGGATTTTTGGTGTTAACAAATATAAAAATGAAAAACTGATCCATACTTCTAAATGTAAATGGTAAACGAAAGTGACATTATCATTTTTATGATTTTTGATAGTATAAATGAAATTATAAAAAATCGTATCATCAAATCAAAATGATCAAATTTCGCATTTAATGTATTCTTAAAATTTATTTGTAATTAATTATTCGATAAATATTTTGTTGGCTTTGTCGTACATATTATTTTATTTAACGTTGAAAATTATCATCATTAACTATTTTACATTGTGTATTACAGGTAAGTAAAAATTTTTTAAACTTATTTTATTGTTAGTGTGCAACAAGTTTTGAAATTTTTTAAAGTTTACCGCAACAAAAAAAAAGGTTGAGAATCACCTCTAGATGGTTTAAATCATTAAAATCTTTCTTTTCTGTTAATTGTGGCCCTCTGCGGAAGCTGAGTGGTCAATTCACGGACTTATGGCGGGAGCTGATTCTAACGAGTCGGGGGCTCGAGTCGTTTTACATTGATTCAAACTGCTGCGGGTGCAACTGGAGACTCGACTTAAAAGAGGGGCTTGTGTGTGTGTGCTAAATATGTCAAGGCTCAAAATTCTCCTGTTGGCCTTGATGCGGAAGTTCGGAGAGTGGGGTTCCAGCTCAAATGTCGGCCTCATCATTTGATTTTTTCATTGTTCAAAATTACGAAGTCCGATGCCAATAGACTTCATGTATCTTCGTAGTACACCGTAAACAAACAGTTAATTTTTCAATTCCTACTATTAGTTCACACTCTCCCTATGTATATATATATATATATATATTTATCCACACACATTCAAATTCAAATACATTTTTTTTAAACTTGTAGTAGATGACACTTGATGTTAATACAGTTTTTTCAAATATTATTTTATTAATTAAATTAAAAAAATGAATAAATAATAACAAACAAAAATAGTAGTTTAAAACCATATATAAAAAGGAAAATCGCTCGTTGAGTATCCCTGTAGCACAATGGATAGCGCGTTGGACTTCTAATCCAAAGGACGTAGGTTCAATTACCACCTGGGATGACCTAATTTCTAAGAATTTGATTGCTTTTTACTATTCTAATTGAAATAATTAAATTTAATTAACGAATAAAAATAGTAACAAGCAAAAAATAATAATAGTCCAACACCACATACATAGAAAGGAAAAAGGAAAATCGCTTTCTCTTTTCCCACTTAATGTTGTAATTCTGTCATATGTATACACAAATTTATAGAAATTGTAACTATTTAATAAACAGTAACAAAAATAAAGTTTTTCTTTGTTAACCTAAGTAGGAATTGACTTAATTTTTTTATATTACTTTTTGCAGAAAAATCTGATATGAAGTTATTCTGATATCTTATATAGTAAAATCCACAGGAAACTAATTGACTATTATGATAGATGTTTTTCTTTGAATCTATATTACACGTGCTTGTAAATCAATCAAAAGGGCTAGAAACTTCTACTCAGTTCTCTCGAATGCAGATTTCGATTTGTTGAGATGCATGTAAATTTTTCATTTTAGTTATTACATTTTGTACAAAATGAACATTTCTTTTCACAAGTGATTTTTTAGCTGGAAAATTATCTCACTGCTGTCCCAAGGCATGAGGTTTTCTCGAACACCTTAGATTCGAAGTTTATTTTATGCAATTGATTAAAAATGTGCTGAATTTTCAAGTTTTTAAAATTTTTCCTTTTAATCAATTAAGTTAAGGATTTTTTCTATCTCTAGTTTTTCAGACTGGTTTAAAAGTCAATATTTTATAAAAAATTATTTTTTGTTTGAACATTCAATAAAAAATTACAAAAAAGAAATGAAAAAAAAGAGCAGCATGTAACTGACCAAGCTTGAATCCTTGTCAAAATTACTTAGCGATTTAAATAACGCGACACATGTATATATTATATCGCAGTTTATAATCAATATAAATATAAGTTACGTATCTTGCTGTTTTTTGATTGTCACTTTGCTGGTCGAAAATAACAAAAACGTGGAACTAGTTAAGAAGAGATTATGATAATCTCTCTCTTACTTGTTATTAGATAATTAAAAATTTAAAGCTGTTTAGTTTATGTGTTCTTGAGTTTGTTATACTTTCCATTTTTACTTAGTTTTTAAGGCATGGTTTCGTATTAAATATTTCCAATGAAAACAGTACATTCATTAAAAAAAATATAAATACCTCAATCATAACCTTGTAAATTAATGCATCATTGGCATTGATATTGTATTTCTACCTGGAAAGAATATAAATCGGTCTGCTTAGCTTTTAATAATTATTAAATTACCTCATTAAAAATTGGTCAGATTTAAGTTGTGGGAGTGTAGTGTATGTGGTTAGCTAAAAAATTTGCTCAGTGCAGTTTCGATACCTTGCTCTACACTGCAGTACGTCTTTGTTCAAGAGCATTTCATCCATAGCTGGAACACTCATATGTTGTTTCAAACCATCTTTAGACTTGAGAGACGATATAGCTTTCCCCTCTCTCTCTCTGTATGTGTGTGTGTTCCTTCAATATTTTTTAGTACACTATCATCATCAATTATTTTAACGTTCTCTGACAAAGGTTTGTTTTTTGAAAGATCGCGTCGTGCTTGAAAATCTTCCAATATACCATTTCATAGAAGACTGACGAATTTAGCCAATAGCATTGTAAAATGTAATAATTTAGTGTGAAAATATTAACTGATTTATAAAGATTTTCTACCTTAATTTTAAAAATCCTTTTTAAAAGTTTTGCTAAAGCGGACACAGCTGATATTTACAAATGACGATTTTATTCATATTTTCACTGATGGTTCCAAGTCAATGAATGATGTTGGTGCCTCTTATTTGATAGATCTGTGCCTTGACGTCTTTCAGCTTTGTCCTTCATGCTCTGTTTTTACCATTGAGATATCTACTACAAAGAAATCATAAGAATCATCTCGTGTCAAAGAAAATTAAAATTTTTCTCGCCTTAACCCATTTTTTGGGTGTCCTGGAGTGTTAGCATTATTCCATTTTCTCATTTCATCCATTGATAATAGGAATTTTAAAATTGATGCATACCTTAAAATCGAACTAATGTTTTGTTGGGTACCCTTTCACGTTGGTATCAAGGGCAACGGCAGGTTGAAACACAGAATTGAGGTTTTTCTCTCATATTGTTCGTTTCATCCCGGGATACATACGAAAGACGAGAGATATTTGAACAGAAACATACAATACAATTACAGAAGAAGATAGACTTTATTACAAACGATGATCCCAGAAAGAAACAGAAGGGGTGAGCTACTTTCCATTCAGAATCCATTTCAGGTGAAAATCCGACTTCTTTTCCCGAAGTTACATCCATGCATCATTCAGGATTCGAACCCACTCGATTACAAGCCAAGTGTCATAACTACCATACTGGCTGGGTGGCTCATCACGATATTAAAATATCTACAAACAACCATTGGATCCTTTAAATTAATAATAAATTGTACAGCATAAAGCATATCAGTTCTCATAGGAAATCATTGCCATTTTAGAAGACAAAACGTTGTTTCAACGCTTGTAAGAATCAACCACACAAGACTGACATCTAAGAAGAGGAGCCGGAGGATCTGGTGACAAAAATTGAAACTAATCAACATAACTATTAAATCCTAAATTTGAATTCATTTCACACACACACATTTTCTACGAGAAATAATTGAAACTTTATATTAATGTTAATTAATTCAATAAATCTCGCACCAAATTACGCTAACAGAGCTATCATAATTAATGTAAAGGTACGATAAAATTCAAAGACAGAAAGCTCAAATATTTTGGAAAAAAACTGCATGAGTTTTAATAACTCTTATTTAAATTTCAGTTCAAAACATACCTCTAATTCTTCCTGTTTAACCGATTATGGAAATATAATATTTGCCGCTTTTGTATCGATTGTTTATGTGCATTATGATGCTTATCATTACAGTATTCATATTTTCTTGAAGAATATACATAACATTATCTTGTAACTTATACTATTGATATAATTATATTTTTTCTTAACTATCTATACTATTGATATAAATTATATATTTCTTATTTGTAGTCTTTTTGAGACATATTTGTTGTTGTGTAATTGGTCATAATTCAAAAATAATCATTAATATTTTCTATTATTCCACTTCTATAATCTTAATTATATCTTGATTTCTCCGTTGGCAGTTTTATAGTTATTTTAAGATTCTAATTTATGTGAATCAGAGAATAAAGATCAGTTATATAAGTGGCTCTAGTAACCATAGTGATACTTACGTAAAAAATTATATACAACAGTTACAAATTCGGAAATATCGATATAAATAGAAACGGTAAGATAACAATGGTTGGAAAAGAAGATGTCTCTGTTGCAAAATATAATTTAATGTACACGAATCTATATATAATATATATATATATATATAATCTAATCTCAAAAGCCTTCACGCTAGTAGGGTGCTAATTCTGGCACTATCTTATAATTTGACAGTGGAACAAGCATATGTTGTGGTCCGTTAGCATTAAAATTCTTCCATTGTGACATTCTCAAAAAATCAACCAATCATCTTTTCATATGAAAATTATATGAATTTCAACAAAAAAAATAAACTATTCTAGATCTTTAACTTGACATTTGAATTTTTCAGCCTTCTTTAAATCGGCAGAATCTTCAAAATTTATCAATATAAATTAGTAATTATATTGTGTGATAAATGAAATTTGGAATTGCTGTATCATCAATTCTACTTTCTATAATATATCCCAATAGATGATATGATGCTTTTTATTTTAAATTTCGTTTACTCTTTGGTTATAATTCAGATATGAAAGATGCTCTTGATTTTTATGCATTCACTTAAAGAAAAAGCGATTTATTTTTATTTCAAACTGATTCATGACAATATTAATGTTCCTGCGCATCCAAAATTTTCAACTGAAATATCAAATTATGTAATTAAAACTATTTATTATATTCAATGAAAAACTGCTATAAGAAACTTCCCATTTCAATTGAAGTAAATGTATTATATTTTCATTTCTTTAAGCAGTTATTATATATATATATATATCGGAAAAGGAGGTATTTTTAGCATCCGTATAATCAATCACTAATTGTGTAGTCACAGAACATTTAATACTAAAAGTTTGTGTGTGTGTGTGTGTGTGTGTGTGCAAGCAGCACAAAAAAATTATAAAACAAATAAATTATTTAATTCCGTAGTACAAAATAAGAGGGAACATAATTTTGCATTATTATACTATTTTTAAATTTTATGCTTAAAGGTCTATTTCTAGTTAAATATTTTAATTTTTTAACCATTCTAAAACTTGTAGATGCCCACACTTTTAACAAGTATACAGTTTCATAATCTGTACTTCTGATATTTTTCTGCTTTTTCTACAATGGTGTGTTACTTGCAATTTTTAAAATTAATTATAACATAATGAAACTTTTTCATCAATTTACGCAAAAAATTGAAACAGTCTTCGTATTTACATCATGAGGCGTTTTTAACGCAACGTTTAGTATTCTTCGTAAAAGTTTGAAAACTATTATGAGACTGGAGGCTTTCTTTCTGAAATACAGACTTTTTTTCCATTTAGATTTATGATAAGGATTCTAGCACCTGCGCTCGACACGACTACTTTAATATACATCTGTTAAAATTCTGGATGGGGAAGCAATCTTTGTGTAGCGACCTGCACATTGTTTTAAAATCATTGTGGCTTTAAATGTAGCAATCAGTTTCTAAAAATAAAAGCCCTTGTCACTCTTTGAATTGCGTACGGAAGTAATCTTTCTTTCCGTTGGCAAATTTATTTTTACTTTCATAAAAGGTGCCAAAAAACTTGATCTAGATCATTCGTAATTTTTTTTTTTCTTTTCCTTTCTTTTTTTTACTACTTTTTTCAAAAATAATACTTAAACATCAGTTTCAAATATTTATTACTGTCTATTTACTCTTTCTTTATATCTTTGCTTTTACTCCCTTGATTCATTTCTGCAAAATTACTAATAATGATAGTAATCG